AAAGGATGTCCTGTTGGCGGGGCGGCCGGCCAGCTCGCTCAGCGGTTGAAACGCAGATGATCCGGATCCAAACATTGACTGCTCCTCCTGGGACTGAGTTTGATCCCTTGAAAAGTTAAGTATAGGTTAAAATAAGATATTTATGATTTTTATGTAATAATATACAACTAAACAGTACCTCGTTGATCTGTTATTTCCCAATGATAAAGAATTAAAATTAGGGAAACGACTACTAGTGGCCGGGACGTCGGCATTTTCGCCTTCGTTTTGTGCACGCGAGGTGCTCGGCCCAGAGTTGTCTGCTGAAAAATAACACACTTATTACGCAAAATCAAATAGAAAACCTTTATTTCATATTTCGACCTCTATCCATATACTTAAAGCAGTTATAATTAGTAATAGTTCAAATATTTTTTATGGCAATGGCCGATTGAACCTTTTTCACGAATACACTAAACTGAATTTATTAATTGATTTTAATCAAAAAAACTATGTAGTCAGACTGGCAAAAATACATCAAATGTAAATTTTGTTCATATATTACTTACCATGGTGCGGGTTGGGGCGCGCGAGGCGCGTGGTGGCGCCGGGCAAGGGGTCTGTCTCCATAGGGTCGGTGCCGCGGTCGATCTGTCAAATTTTATTTTTTTCTTTATTTCACTGTAATTTTGCATGCTGTTCTGTGTGAATATTTAAAAGGTGCGACGTCTAAAAACTTTATTACTACTAGTTTTTTTTTAATATAAGGTAGCCAACGAGCAAGCGGCCACCTGAATCGAAATGGAAAGCGACCGCTGCTCATAAACATCCGCAATCGCAGATGCGTTGCCTAACCTTCACTAACGGAGGAGACGCGCATAAAGAGGACATTTCCCCTTCCTGTGCGTCTCCTCCGCCGTCAAATACACTTTTCCTTCCCATTCTTTCCTTATAAGAAAAGGGTGGAAAGGGAAGTGACTAAAAATACTAGTAAAGACAGTATTATAACCACTAAGAGAATATAAAAAAGCATATTCACCGTGTTGGGCGGGGAGGGGGTCCTGCTGAGGCGATGCCGCACCATGTACAGGCGCTGGTAGTTCCGCACCAGGCTGTCGTAGCGCTGCACCAGGCTCTGGTACGAGTTCACTATCATCTCCTGAGAAGACCCATCCTGAGGTCTCCGGGAACGGTCCCCTTCTGACTCATCCACATTGCCAGTATTCGCTGCATTATTTGCAATATTGGCAGCATTGTTTGCAATGTTAGCAGCATTTGCAATATTGGCATTAGCATGACTCGGCCCGTTGTTGAAATCATCCATGTCACCTCGTCTGAATTGATTGATGTTTTGTAGTGGCGGGCTGGTGGATTGCGGCGGCAGGAATGAGGGCGTGCCCGCGCCCACCCATTGAGATACCCCCGTTATCAGTTTGTATCCTAAAGCGTCAAATGCTACATATCTGGAAAGTTGACGAATTTGTGTTGAATATGAAAAAAAAAATAATAGAAGCCTACGAGCTACGAACTTAACAACCAATTACTGAAACGACATTTAAATAATTTTTTTAATGATAGGCCATGCCACTCTAAATACCATTTAAATTTTAACATCTGACAGATTGCAAGTGGTGCTTACAAAGAGAAGTGTTTAAAATTGTATTTCAAAAGTAGTTTACTTTACTAAGATTCACTTTATTCCGATTTTAATAATTAACTATATAGTGTTGTTAATATTAGATACCTTATTTTTTCATTGGCAGTATTAGTGGTTACTTTGGTAAAAGGTGCGGGCTTGTTCCAGTCCCAGAAATAAAGTTCATTGAATGTGGCTATCACTAACAGTTGTTCCCGAGGATGGAATGCTATTGAGGCTATCACAGTCTCTGTGCGCACATTCCATACTTCGCTACCGCCCTACAAAGAAAAATAATATTGTAAATAATACCAAAACTACTATAAATTATATAATTCTACTTCTATAAATAATTAACCAATATATGTACAGACTTAATCGCATACTATGAAAACCACAAACACCACAAGTATGGTCGAAATATCAAACAAAACTAAATATAGCACAGAACACAACTATATAAATTAGATAGTAAATAAATTATTTAAATCAATAATTAAAATCTTTG